CATTGGCAATTGAGTGACTGAGCCATATTTATACATGTCAAATTCTGGTCTAAATGCACATCAATGCAGTCTGTCTTTAGCATTTTAGAGCAGTTATACCTGTATGTATCAGAGTGACATGTCTGAAGTTTAAAACTTTGGAGTGTTTATTGAAAATAAAACAAACTCTTATTTTGATATCTTATTTTACTCTGGAGCTTTACACATCACAGCGCCTCACCACCTTTGTTTATTCTCTTCATATTGTTTTGATATGAACAGCTTTTTCTAGAAATGACACAGATGAAAATATCATCTTGCAGGATGTTGCTGCATCACAGCAGGGATAAGAGGAGCTTGTTGTCATGTGTGGAGTTGGTCTTTTAAGACATTGAAGTCGACGGTAATTTCCACTCCTCTCTGGATTTAGCTGTCAGAATTCCTACCAGCAGACTTCCATTTGCATTCAGTTCATTTTTATGAATTAGCTGGTGTATTTATAGCCTCTGACCATTTTCGACAGCTTAGATGTGGATCACTTAGTGTGCAGCCATATATTTTTTTAATTATTTGGTTGTGTTCACGCACATTTTACTTATTTGTATGATGTTTAAAACATAAAACTAGAGTGGGATTTAGGTTGAGTTCCTAAAAGAAAACAAGAAGAGTGAAGCATATGAAGAAAAGATGGAAAAGGTTGGAAAACAATCTTTGTATAAAACTTGCACTATGTAAGACCAGCCATATATTTGCAGAATGGCTCTAAAATTAAAAGAAAACTGAAAAAGAAACTTTATTTAAAACTTTTCTTCAGGTTCATTGGATATTAAATCATCATTTTCTCCCGGCACTAGCATTATTTCATATTTCCTACATCCCTTTTATTCATATTTAAACTTTTGGTGATTAAACCTTAAATAAAAGCATTAAATTAAAACACAATGCTAAGCTCTTGTTCTGTGAAGATGGAGCTTAAAGAGGCAGCAATGCTAAATAATCAAAGTGCGGATTGATGGGCAGTATTTTATTGGAGAGCCTTTTAGCAGCTTTGGGCCTAAACAAGTTATCTAATGTAATGACTAATGTTTGAAGTTGGGTTTCATGCTGTGCTTTTTCCACATTGCAGTTGCATTTTTATTTTAAAAAATAAATCAGTTTTCTTAACATAGCTGTTAGTCCCAAGTGGGGAGACTGCTCAATCTAACTTTACTTCTCAATGCTGCACATTGTCCTTTCTCCTGACAGAAGCATTCAAGATCAAGGGCAGCATCACCTTTGCCACTAATGAGGTTGTTTATTCCCCCAAATTTCCTTGTGGACTTAAACTGAGAGGAAAAACGGGCCATGCATAGCAGAGCACATAATTAGCATTAGCAAAACAGAGCTCCAAAAGTCCCATTTTATAGAATAGGTGACAGCAGGATCCCATGTTTCTTACCTAAATTGCCTGTATGTTTTAAAGTTTTAAAGTGTATTTAATTGTAACAGGTCATAATTTTTGAAAAAAAAAATAGTTTCAGAACTTCCCGTTGCTTTATTTTAGAGTCAACATTTTTAGGACTTTAATTAGAGAAATAAATTTCATGTCAGATTTTCCCAAATTTACCCAAAGATTTCTCAGTAATAAACAATATTTTTTCAATGGTGACTATCCATATAAGATATTACTGTGCTCTTTACTTGGACTCTGTAATAAATGACACTATAACAATGTGCTAACTGCTAGTCAGTAGCATTTTTTCTTCTCTTTCAAGGCAACTTGAGCTGCAAATAGGCCAAATCATCTTTGACATCAGCTGCATCAATGTTTTTTTGCTTTGTTTGAATCGTGGGCATTCAAAAGTCACGACATGCAAAATAGAAACTCATCTGATGAAGACGACTAAGTACTAAAAACGAACTACTAGGGATACGACAGACAGAGTACACAGTGTCTGTGGTTGCAAATCAATTAGCAATCAACCTAATGTGTTGAAAATCCTTTTGAATTCCCAATACATTGGCTTTTTTCGTGCAGTGGTGCCTGACGTACTCTGCCCTGGATTATTTATCTTAATTTCTATTGACTAGATTGTATTACCAGTTCAGAACTGTCATATATTTTAATGGTTTTAATCTAATTTCCATTACGAATGAGTTTAACCTGATCAAGAGCCTTTGGCGTTGTATATCTTCCAATAATAGTGATGATGATATATGTGTGGCACTTTTCTCTAGCTGGTGCACAGGCAGAATACCATTTCCAGGCCTCTACTCAGAGAGCCCATGTACACTGCTTTATTTGCTGATGTAGATTGGGTTCCAATCTCTGCGTAAATGTGAGGCTTTACTGTATGTTTGCTTATCTGTCCAGCCATCCCATCTATTCAAACAGCTTTCCTTTTATTTAAAGCTGTGTGCTGGCTGGGCTTTTTATCCCTAGGACTTTTTCTGTTATTTTGGGACCAGATGGCGAGGGGCACGGAAGCGCCTCTTTTGTCTGGGTGCTTCTTTTGAAAAGAGGTTGTCGTTCCCTAATGTAATCAGCAGCACCGGAAGGGTCCATTTTGGGCCGTGAAAGAAGACAATTGGGTCTGGACACCTCTAGCTTACAGAAATGTAGAGTTCATCTCTCGACCCTGCCCCCTTTGACCAAGGCCCTGGCATGAAGGATGCTGATCTTTGATCAGTGGAGGGTGGAGGTGCTGATCCGACCTTATGAGGGCCAAAGGGCACCCCCCTCCACCCTGTTGCCCTGTTTACCCTGTACTTGGCTACTGCTGACACCTCCTTCCGGAAGAAGCCAGGGGGTAGTGGGTTGGGTTGGGCATGGTGCGGGGGTGTACCATGACCTGTCTAGACACAGTTGTTGTTTGTTGCCCTGGTGTTGCCAAGGGGGACACGGTGAACTTTGACCTCAACTGTAGTTGGTTAGGAGCTACTTTGGTCATCCAAGGAAGACATTTTTTTTTCTTTTTAATTTCAGGGTTGGAGGTGGGGAAATGAGGCGGGGTATGGATGTGACCTACATAATGCGCAATCTGCTTTCAGAAACCACAGGCATGAATTTGTTGGCAAAACTGGTTTTATTTTTTTATTTATTTAATTATTTTCTAGTTATATTATATGATAATTTCAGTTGGGTCACAAAATGGAAGACTTGTATTGTGATTTTGCTGTTTACTGGATGCACTTTTGGATGTTTTCTTCATCATACACAGTAAGTAATCTTAAAATTTCATTTACAAATGTGATATTCAGTCAATAAATTGGAGGTAAAACCAATAGAAATATTAATTAAACTCTTACTTACAAAAACTGACTACTAACATAAGCTGTTTTTGTGTGAAGCATCAGTCTTTAGGCCCTTTATCTATTTTAATTTATTGGAAAGCACTTTGGTTTTAAATGTGTTATATAAATTCAATTTAGTTACTTGCTTACTTTTAACAAATGCTGAGTAGCACTTGTCTGTCCGAGCGGCTTTAATGCCTTCTTGTTGAGCGAGAGACAGATTTTCTGTGTGGTTACACATTGTTATGCTCGTATGTTGCTCGACCTTTTTCACATTTTTAATTTTATATTTCAGTTGCTCAAATTAATATCCGGCACAGTGTTTCTCTTTATCTCTGCTTACTCAGAGCTTATGCATAGATAATTCCTTGGAAAAGATTTAAACGTAATCTGGAAACCAAAGAAGACAAACACTGAAAAGTAGTAATGAAGAGTTTGAATTTTAAAAACGCAAATCAGATCTTGTCTAGAATTTTTATGCCAATATGCACAAATGTCTAGATGTTTTTTTCTTTGTTCCTTTTTAAAAACAAACAAACCCCAAAACAAACTATTTTAATAGGCTTAGAAGAAAATAATTAGCACCATTATTCCTTAATGGGAATGTTTCGCCACAGACACAGTGAAATGTTTCTTTTATTATTTACCACATGTCGCTCTTTATCCTATGCCTACAGTCGCTGATTTTGGCCTGAACCAGAACATAGCCTAATGTGTGAACTGGCTTTGATGTTGAGGCCGTTTCTCAGGAGTGGGTGTAGCGATTCCACCATCATGGCCGCCACTTCCAACCCCGCCCTCTCGCCTGCCACTCAGGAACAGTTAAAATGGCAGCACGCAGCAAAATGAGTGAGAGGGAGAAAGAGGGAAACGCCCACTACTGTGAGCTAAGGCACAGTCGACTGAGCTGTAGCTCGCCTCGTATGCCAGCTCAAAGCGAGATCATTATTTTTTGGTGTTTTCAGTCGTCTGAGTACAATGTGAATCCGAAAATGTCTAGACGGGAACACGCTGCTGAAATCACTGAATAGTTAGCAAATTTTGTCACAGATTCATCCGCCATCTGTATTTTACTGTAATGCTCTGTTTTGAGCAACAGTTTGTGAGAAATTTTACTCAAAACAATCATATATTCTTCTTTATGAGCTGATTTCAAAACTTGTAATAGGGCTAATATGATTAGCGAACCCTTCGTATGCAGTATTTTATTAGGCGTTACACTTACTACACTGTAATTGAACATGAACATGCTCTTTGGCGTGCTGCCATTCTTCATGTTTTTGGTTACAGGTTTATACAACTGCTTATGGGCTCTGTGTGATTAACACAGGATTTTCTGCTGTGTACTATCTAAAGATGTTAAAAAACAAAACAAAAAAACCCTAAAATATTCATATTTTACTCATAATATGTATTTGTTTGTACTGCACGCATTGGCCACTGCATCATTTGTATTCTGAAGTGATACAGTACAGTATTTCAGCGAGCATATTCATTTTTAATGTTGACAGAACAAAGTAGTGCGATCAGTGATTTTTGAAACCCTTTGCTCTTAAACAGCTCTGTGAATGTGCTTATTATGTCATCTAACTAATACCAATTAAAGGCTGTACGCTACACCAACCCAGTGCTGTTTCAATGAGCTTGAGACCCTTTTAAAATGGCTCACAGAGCATAGATGGATATAACCAATCTCAGTAAACTGGCTGAAATTAAGCATTATACCCAATCATTTTAAACCTTTGCAGGACTGGCAGCTTCTTCTTAACAGCTCTATTGCAAGGCACTCTACACCCAAACTGCAGTGTGGAAAATTTAAAGGTAAATGTCCAAATTTTTATTTTTAGCTCTTCCTACTTTCGCTGAATGACAGTTTATTATGATCCTCTTGGTGTGAATGTGTTTATTTCCTTTCCACAGTGCAGGGAGCTAGCTGGTGTACTAGGAGGAAGATGTCATGCTAAGGATGGGTTTTGGTGATGATGTTGCTACTGTTGATGCAGCATCGAGCTCTCACTTTGTGCCTCTGTCAGCTATGATCCGTAACCACAAAGTGAGTGACAGGCCAGTCCCTGGGGAAAGCAAGGGGGCCTGAGGTGAGTCAGATGTATCCTTGACCCTGTCTGGCTGTGTGTCAGCGAGCAACACAAACTCTGTATGAAAAAAAAAAAAAAGGCCAAAACTGGCATGACTGTACATTGTACATCTTTATTTAGTATGTAGAAGAAGAATGTAGGAGAAACAGAACCAACCTGAGTTTTTCTGTTAAGTGGATCCGTTTTTTTGTTGTTGCTAGACTCATTTTGAAATTATAATGAAGCGCACATTACAAATTGATACCTTTGATACCTTTGTGTGCATTTCTCTTCCACCAGAGTGCTGATGTTTTAATCTTGGCTTTGTGATGTTGTTACAGACCTGTTTTAGACAAACTCAGCACAAATTTTGTATACACTGTTTACTCCAGTGCATTACATATGGCTTAAATAACACATTCATGCAAGGAAACATAAATCTGTTCATTACTGAGGGTAAATTTTACTCAGGTTTGAAGTTGAAAAGTGGCATATTCACTCAAATTAGCATTTAGATTTTTTTCACTTAAAATAATTGAAGCTGATGATTGAGAAAATCTTTATTAATATAGCTGTTGTACAGGATATGTGGTCAAATGGTAGAAAAATGTTCCACTGTTAATCAGCTGCAGCACTAGGTGTTGCAATACTTAAAGATGGTGTAACGTTTGTACACGATGGACTCAAAATGAGGGGCCTGGAAAATGTTATCCACATCTCAGGATTTCTTATTAGAGCAAATACCTGATCAGTTTGAGAAGGTGTCCAATTGAGAAGAAATTTTTGAATTTATTGAATTGCGATAAAATATCTGTTTTATTTCTGGCCTTTTTTTGTTATATTCATGTACTGACAAATTTAAAAATATATAGATTTTAGACTTTTAATCAGATAAAACTGTTAATCTGATGATAATGTTTAAGCGTTTTGTGTTTGGGGATTTTGTGTATCTAATGTCTGAACAATAAATGATCAATGCAAAATTTAAAGAATATAATGATGATTAGTGAAAATAATTTTTGTAGTTGCTGCTTTTAGGTGTAAATGTACATTCAGAAATTGATATCTGCAGATGTTCCAAAAGATGACATTGTGTTTTGTGCCATGCAAGATATTTGCTTCCACTTGCCAAAAAAGATAACCCATAAGACATATTAGGAAATTATTTTAAAAGTTGGTGTTTTTTTTTTAGTTCTAAAGTGCTTATTGTAATATTTTGTAGCAGCAATCAAAGACAAGAGTTCATCCAAAGCCGTAGTCAGTGTTACACCAGACGCATTCTGCAAAAGACATGATTCAACTTAAGGTGCAACTGCAAGAAATGATGTATTTATGTTAAATTAAATGTAAGATAACTATGACCGTAATATTAAATAACTTTTTATTAATAAACATTTCCTATTTTGTAATTGCTTCTCTTATTTTGTTCCTATATTTCTTTTACCATCTTTTTGTTAAAAATATATGACACATCCATGAATCCACCAGTATAGAGAACAAGCTGTGCAACTCATGCTGTGTTAAAAACAACTTTGTGAAATTTGAACGCAGCATAAAATTTGGTCTCGCTGAGCATAAAACATTACTTTAGGAAACAAATATGGTAGCTACATGGCAAAAGGTGCATTGATGTTTTTTCTTTTTCCTGAATTTCTTCAAGTGAACAAAAAGAATCTTTGCTTAAAAGTCTTGCATCTTCTTTCTTTTTTTTCAAGGGTCACTCAAACACGGTGTGTGAAATGAGAGTTGCCTGGGTGTGACTTCTCCAGAAAGCATCCGCTTGCTATTGTCTGCCTAGTCAACTTCTGCAGGCCCCAGCACCCTGACTTCCATACATGAGAGATCAAGGGTTACCAAGGTGCTTTTGAGAAAGAAGGGCTCAGTGTGAGAGGGGACAAACCAGTCCACAAAATACTCATTTCCTTTGCATGTTAGGTGCCCTAGTGGGGATTCAGCCGGGGTCACTGACACAGTTTTTCTTTTTTCCATCGTTGTTCTTAATGAAAACTGTTGCTTGCCTTTTCACTGCCTTTTCACTGCTATCTGCTGCCCTGTACAGTATGTGGCTCGATAATACGGTGAGTTTGTCCAAAAGAAAGTTTGTTCAGACTCTGACTGTTTATCCGGTGCCAGACAGAGGCACCTCATGTAGAAAAGGTAAAAGTAGTTCTGTCCACCTCTCATTCTTGCCAAAAAAGTTCAGCCACTGAGCCACAGCATTAACTTGTATTCTAACAAGATTAAAATATATTCGTCCTGGGGATTAGCATAGTTAGGTGTCCTTTTGCCTCTTTTTTTTCCTGCACTGGTGCGGTGACAGTGGGCTTTGATCTGTGTTGCGAGGCAAGAGTCCTGGCTTGGACCTAGCCATTCGAGTGCCAAGTGTGAAATTGGCCTGATGTCATCCCCATTCTTCACCTTTTACATCTTTCACCACTTTAATTATGTTTCCGCCACAAAGCCCAGGCAGCTCTGAGCAGATTCCACTCTGGCCGTAGGAAGCATTTAGAAACTGTGGGTAAATGACACAGTAGGGGAGGGGGAGGATGGTGGGAGAGGTCATAGCAGGATGGGGCCCTTTTGTGTGTAGAGGTAGACATTGATACTTTCCTGATGTATCCTGCACCCACTTCCATTTTTTACAACATGAGAACTCTCTAAAATTGTCTGCAGTACTGAATAAAATTGCTTTTATCCCAGGCATTTTTAAGAGTTTCTGCAGAGATTTTTATCTCTGTGTTACCTCCCCAGCTTTACACGGTCATATATGGTATTTTGGCAGCAATGCAAGACTTTTCTGAACCATGAGGAGCCTCAAAAAAGGACCGCTGGTGGTCATTTGACCACCTGAATCTCTACTTCCCAATACGAGACAAATTATTCTCAGATAAAACCTTTTGTTCCAGGAAAGAAGTGCCCATGCAGCCTAACAGCTTTAGCTTTTGTTCATGCGCTGGTGTCCCTATCTGAACTTCAGGGGAGCTTCTCTGCCTGTGAATATTTTGATGAAGCTTCCTATTGATGCGCTGAATGAAGGATCAAAACAACAGGGCTGCGTGCGCATGTGAGGAGGAACACAATTGAATGGAGTATTTGGATGTGTGTGTGTGTGTGTGTGTGTGTGCCATGCAAGAATAAAATAAACCAAGTGATACTGAGGTGTGTGTGTGTGTGTGTGTGTGTGTGTGTGTGTGTGTGTGTGTGTGTGTGTGTGTGTGAGACAGAGTATGAGTTGGCGAGTGAAAAAGCTGTGTGTGGAGAATGGGTTACTGAGGGGCGGGAGGGGGAAACCAGCCACCTGCAGCCATGACAGGCTTTGACCTTCATTGCTCTCTCTCTCACTCTCTCTCTCCCCCTCTTGCACTCACCCCTCCCTCCCCTACCCTCTCTCGCTCTCTCCCTTCGACTCCAATTTCTTCCTTGTGATAGAAGCACAGGCTCTTTTCAGAAGCAACGAGGAACACTGACCGTCTCAAAGACAGTGCTGGGTGCAGCCCTATTTGCTCTAATGCTAGTCACTGGCCGTTAGACATGGCGTTCAAAGACTAGTGGTGCAAGTATGGAAATGCAGATAAGGCATTGTTGAGGAAACATGCCTGGGAATTGTTCAAGGCTTTCCCTTGCATAATATTTGAAGCTTTTGCAAATGTTTTAATCTCAAAACCCATGATTCTGATTTTCAGCGACGATTCTGAACATAAACAAGTGTGTGTTTGCATGGAAAGGACTGCTGTGCTGTGCAAATGAATAATGTCTGTAATTTTCTTTAAAAAGAGCAAATGCCTTGTTTTGGCTTGTAATGTATTTGTTTTTTCTTCAAGTTATGATGTGTGCACACTATCAGGAGAGACCGAAGGTCCCGTTTGCTGTTCTATCCAGGCCTCGGCTAATGCTTATGGGTTTTAGAGCACCATACAGAGTTCAGAAACATGTTTGTGTATAATCTTCAAGGTTTATTTACTCTTCTTCTGCAGTTTTCAGGTGGCAGTTAATTACACAATTAATACATGATACAAATTATGTACATTTATACCAAAGAATACTTCCAACATAAAATAAAAAATAGCATTGTATTCTACAACTCTGTGTTGTAATTTTATTTAAACATGTTCATATATAGATAGATATACGCTGATGAGTAAATTCATAATGTCGTACCAGCAGTTTTTCATAAAGGCATTAAACTTGAGTAGTCTGCATTTGAAGTAATACTGCTTCTCTGATTCGGCACAGTTCTGTTTCATAAAAAGTTCACACTTGAACTTTAAGGCAAAGTGTGTTTTCTGTTTGGTGGATTTTAATTCACACACACTTTTTGCAGATACACAACAAAAAGACTTTGAAAGGCAAATAATCCACAATTTGGTATGGATACAGTCTGAAACTTAGCTCGATCATACTTTCGTTGATAAAGACCAAAGTTTTATAAACACAGTTATTTGCCCAAGTACAACAAATTGCAGCTTTCATGCAAAAGGCCCCATAAACAATTTTTCATTCACAAAAAAAAGAACCCAAAAGAAAACAAAAGAAAACAAAAAGAAGTTATTGCAAGATAAACAAGCAGTGTAAACACCTCAGATATCTACTCTAAAGCAACACTGGTCATTGGATAGATTTTTTTTGTCAATATAATCTATATAAATACACATATGAAGTCCTTTCAACAACGATAAGAGATTTCCAACATTTGTAATACAGTCACTGACGGATTTGCCTTCTTTTTATGATATATGGATATGCAATAAAAATGTATATAGAGAAAGATTTAACAAGAACATCCAATAACCTGCATTTCTAGAAGATACTCGTGAGAGTGCGCAAAACTCGGCGTCATCATTGTCTTTATGCTACGGAGTTGTTTCTGTGACGTAATAGGCAGCATTATAGCCTTCGCTTAGCTACAAAAAATGATTCGTATTGCTATTTAAAACTATAATAGCTGCACTGATGCATTGGTATAACGAATGGAATACGCACATAATATTTGTTTAAAGGCTATGAGATGACCACAAACATAAGCAAGGCCTAAATTAGCATTTTAGTTAAGTGGTGTGTTAGAGAGAAAAAAATCCCTACCTCTCCCGGTCACTTGTAAGAAACTGTGAATTTAAAAAAACAGTATCAAAATTCAGAGTCTGCCCGATTAGTTTTGCAGCTGACACGCAACACCTTCTTCTGCCTATTTTACATCAAACACAATCAACCCTCCCTCCCCCCAAAAACCCAACAAGCATGGAAGATAAAAACCGCGTTAGCATTTATTTAAATTCACAGTAGCCTGGATGCAGCAGAAAAATATTCTTTGGACTTAAAGTTTGCTCACTTCACTGACAAATCCAAACGTCAGGTGCCAGTTAGTAAAATGTGAAACGATGACAATCATGGGTAGCAGTAATCCTATACGGTATATAAAAATGAAGGGAGTAAGCGTTTGTACCTCAGGGGGTGTTGTTGGGGTTGAGCTTGGGCTGGGCTGGGTTGGGTTGGGGGACAACAAACAATGAAAACATACCTTTATACAACATCTTTTATAGACGTGATATTGCAGAAATATCTCTCTTTTTTTCAAACAATTTATGCTGGTATACTCTATACACTGGCCCTTTATTCGGTGAAATTATTGCATTGTAGGCTTGTCTAAACCTCCCATATAACGAAAAAGCACTATAATATTCCCATAGGAACATACAGAGACCTATGGTAGCATTAGAATTCCTGTAGGGACTCGAAGTAGTAGCGATCTTATTCTTACTTTTTTTTTGTAGTATTGTATTTTTAACGGTGCCCTGGACGCGATGTACATCTGTAGGCTACTGAGTTAGCGTTGAGTAATAGTAATAGTACTTTGTAGTATTTTTATCTGCTGTGGCATCATTAAATATTCCTGTAAGTAGAGTTTTTTTTTCTCTGTGATATCTCTATAAAAATCTATAATAGGATTACTATAGGTTCTTTTTCGTCAGGAGGCTGCTTTTACTTCTCTGGAAATCAATCGCTGTCTGATTTTTCGTCTTTCGACGTGACGGTGGAGTGATTGTACAGTCCCTGTGCCATCAGGTGCAAGGCCAGAGAGTTTTTAGCGCCGCTAGCCTTCTTGATTTTGGCCCTCTTGTTCTGAAACCAGATCTTGATCTGGGATTCGTTCAGGCCCAGTTCCTGCGCCAGGTTCTGTCGCCTCTGCTCCGTCAGATACCGATTTGTCTGAAACTCCGATTTGAGTCTTTGCAGCTGTTCTGCTGTGAAGGCCGTCCGTGGTCGCTTGTCCTCTTTGCTGGTCGTTTTCTTCTTTGGTTTCCGAGATCTTGGCCCTGTAGTGTGGGGAGGTGGGAGGTGGGGTTCACAGATACACATGTATGGGTTTGTCAGCATCCGAACACGAGAAGAAAAAAAGAGAATAAAATCATAATAAAAGATACACTGCCCATTATCAGGGTTGTTTTATAAAGTTCAGAAACTATTTTGATTCATTTTTTCTTATTTATGTATTCAAATCCTCAATCAACATATGATCTCTACACTGTTGTGCTAATTTGTATTCACAGCAGTGCCTACAAACCCGTGCGTAAAGCGTATTTTATAATAATCTAAATTTTATAAAGCTTATTTAACCCCCCCCCCCCCCCCTCTCAATGCAAATGGCTCTGTGTCTTACTGCTCTGGTCACCGTGCCTTTTAAAAAATCGCAAAATAAGTGTGAATTAACTGACAAAACATTTTTAGAAACTTGTAAAATCTGAACAGGGATGCTTGTTAAATGTTGACAAAGCAGAAACAAAACCTTCCCTTCCCCCCTCTGTTTTTATCCCTCTTCCCCGCTTACACATACTACGTATGGATACATACACACACACACGCACACACACAAACTCTGGAGCAATGTGAAATTATTAGCATAAAGCATCGCTGACACAACTCAGCCACTGTTTAGCAGGTTGGCTGAAAAAAAAAAACAGGATCAATTTCAGTGAAGCTACTTTGCATTTTAGTTTTTGTGGGCCACTTGAAAAGCTCCTCAGTGGACAAACGTGAACAGAATGTGAGCAGCACACATTAGATACACATTAATTTTCCGTCTGGATGGAGGCCTGTTTTGTGGAGCCGCTGGCTGTCTGTGTTCGGTCGCCTCCTCCAAACAGCGCGGAAAACATTAATGAAACTACTTAATACGAGTCGAACCTCCATGAATCAACGTGCATGATGTGTGTGCCCATAACCCCCCCCCCCCCCCCCCAATAAAAACCTGCAGCTCTACAACTCGGTAGTAGTCGCCTACGCCACTCTATATGGCGTTACATAATGCATGAGAACAAGTTGTACTCCACTTTTTTTGACAGACACTTAGAAAAATACACGAGCTATTAACCTTGCTTGCTAGATGAGAAGCGACTTTCCACGCGTTCTTGTAACTGAAGATTAGAAAAAAATACCACCAAGCTCTCTACTGGCCAGCGTGTAGCCTACAAGTCCTACTGCAGCCATCATTTGAAAGCATATGCATATTTAATTCACCTCAAACAACTTCTGCAACGCGTTTAAAGAGCAACACGTCCACGCAAAGTGCACTAAATATTCATTTGGAGCAAATTCTTTGGAAGACACGCAGCTGCTTATTTTTAATGGAAGTAGGACTCCAATATTATCATATTCATAACAACGTGAAACTGATGACTGCTTGAATGTGAGATTTTCAGACAAAAATTTAAATTTCTGTGCAATACAGAAATTGAATATATACATTCAATTTCTGTATTTTTAGTATTTAAAATATTTATATCTTTTTTTAAGGAAAAAAAAAGACATGATCTCCGCTCTGTCATTTGCATTAAAATTGCCCCTCGCCAAAAGCTTTTCATGTTGTGTTTTTCCGCTCTGTAAATTCACACCTTGTTATTGTCTTCCTGTGGATATTATTCCTGCGTTAAATAATTTTTGATGGTTTTCTTTTGTGTGTGTGCAAATTCTCAGCCTGCTCTGCACAGCACGGTTCGCTTCTCTACTCTCGAGAAGTCGGTCAAGGCATTCGGGGTCAGTGTTACGGGGTATTTCAGGTTACCGAGAACGCGGTATAGAAAATTAAAAAAAAACGCACACCAACCTGAAGAAGGCCTATCCGAGTATCTGGTGCAGTAGACCCAGGCTGGCCACAGCATGGGCTGAGACATGGATGGGTTTGAGCTGGCTTGGGAACTGTCTGAGTCTGAGCTTAGGCACTGGTCTCCATTCTCCCCGCGGGGTTTCAGGGGCTCCTCGGCGGCTATAGCAGGCTTCTTGGTCCCGGTAACCGTGTGTGGAGTGGAGGTCCCTTCTGCTGGCACAGTGCTCCCCACCGGTTCGGTCTGAGGGGCGGTTGGGCTGTTGTGGCTCTCCCGCGACGCAAGGCTACTCTCTTCGCGGTTTGCGCCACCGTCCTTTTTCCGTCCGAAATCCGGCCGCAGGATGTTGTCGATGAAAAAATTGGTGACCCGGTGAGGGATCTGCAGGTTCTCCGGCGCCTGTAAGAGGGGAAGGATGGCTCTGTTTGATTCGTCCGCCGACTCCTGCCGCTCCACCACATCTCTGTTGCCGTGATCATTTTCTTCCATACTGATTCACTTTCCCCCGCTTTACTCTCTTTAACCCCTTTATCGCTCTCCCCGTTGCAATAAAATTCGCGAACAACTTTAGGGGAATTAGACTGCAAAAACTGCACGAGTAAAATAAATAAAAAAGAAAACTCAAATACTAGTGAGTGCCTCGGACACCATGCAAAGCCTTGCGACTGTGTCCTCTGAGAAAAGCATACTTTTTGACATATATCCCCCCAATCTCGGGTTACAACTGATCTCGCACAGCTAAAACATTTGCCATTTGCGCACCATCCAATTTAGTGTCATCCAATATCAGCGTGCTCGGTAATGCCTACACCTAAACTAAACTAAGGGTAAATAAAGAGGCTCCTAAACTGATGCTCTAATACTCTCACTCTGGAGTTTTGTTCTTATTTTCAATACGAGCCCCCCGAGTGACGTTTTCCCACCGTCCTCCCAGACACGTGCCTTGGACCAATGGGACGGCAGAAACCAGGCCACGTGACGCAGGCTCCAGAGCAGTCTACAAACGCCCATCCTCTCCTTAGTAAAAGAGAAAGAGTGCTGGACTAAAAGAGAAGAGACCTAATTTAAATCCAAGGCATGCACCCACATACTCACAATATTTCATCAGTGTTTATGAACCTGTGACTTATTTTATTCTATTTTGGGGCGCTTTGGGGTTTTCAATTTAAAAACGCCATGCATGTCGGTTTTTGTCGTGTATATTAAAACAATAGGACACTGGAGCATCGGTTGTCAAATTGAGCTGCGGGGACCCCCGGGGTTCCTTGCTTGCAGGGCAAGCAGGGATTCCCAATAACACAAGTAGCAAATTTTTACTATATAGGCCATTTATACACGTGTATATATATATATATTTTTTTTTTATTCTATTCAATAGCATTTTTATAACTATAAAGTTTAATTTTCGACACTTTTACGCACGTCCGCAATTAAATACAGTTTCATTCTAACATAATAAGAAGTGATGATTTACTCATATGAAGGCAAATGAGACGGAATTTTAACAAAATGGCTAACTGGTCCAATGCAGACATGCGTGGGGATGCGTGATATGAAGATCTTTGAGGCGAGTTTTAAAATGCCATCTGAAAACACTACAACAATAAAATAACTACTTGTTGAGTTTATACATTACAATTTAGCTTTATTGAATGTAGTTAGAGCACTGGTAAGGTCAACTAAGGCTTGAGAACACTCCGTCCTGGCCAAGGTTAAATGCGGATAGCCTTTTTTCTGGGTGTCTACGTGCTCATATTTTCACCTATGTGTGTTTACTTTAAAAATGCAACTTAATCTCCGAGCATTTATGCCCTTTATCCCCCAAATAAACAGCAGATTTTCTGTTTACTCGTCACTGATGTGCAGGGTGGTCGGATGTGTCATGTTGCTTTCAGTCGCCTCATAACTGGCAACAAATTGCATCAAAACTAAAACGTGACAGCCAAAAGAGTCTTCCCTGTCTGCTTTCAAACGCACGGGGAAGTGCGCTGAGTATTTTTGATGTTCTCATGTTCGCCTGTCGTGACGCTGCGGTCGACCAAGAACTGGGTCCATATCCCTTTAAAAGAAATCAGTGATGCAAACAAACTGTTTTGTGCGCGGTGCTCGGGATACAGAGTCGCGCCAAAGACAAAACTTTGAGTAACTTTGCTGACCAGCACCAAGTTTGCGCTTCACTTCCCAGGACGCCACCGGCTCGCGAGGACGGCTCTTCTCTGGCGTTTGAACCGGAGAAGTGCATTTAAAAAAAAGAAAGAGAGCCAGAGTGGATCGGGGATGACCTGAGGAGCAGCAAGACTGAGACTGAGTGAGGAGTTTTTCGGCTGGCTTATTTTTATTATTAGAAAAACGCTTTGTCTTAGTCACTAGGTTTTCTGGCTGGCGCCTCTTAGATTCTTCAAATTAATTCAGGACACATAACCTGTTTCCTCGTGTTAGCTAATTATTTGGGCACCACAAGCCGGCAGTTTGCTCTGATGTGATGTATTTGTTTGATTTGATTTGTGCACATGCTTTGGGTTTGGGAAAACTGTGAAGGTTGGCTGAGAAGTGGAGTCCAAAGCTGTTTTCATTTCTATTTGTGCAACACAAAAAATCTGTAATTTAAGCTGGTTTAGTCTATGCCCGTTTTTTCCCCCGTGGGAGACATAATTTTCTTGATTATTTTTTTCTCACTTGTTAAATACAGGCTTTATGAATTTATTTTTTGCAAAGCAATAGCGGTGAAGCAGCACAGCAAAATATTTTCTTGGAATTCACACAGTGCGCGTTTCCACGGCTATGCCCAGCTCCTAGTTGCAGAGATTTGCAAAGTGCACCATCACATGCTTCTAGCTGATTTGATTTAAAATAAAATTCTTGCTTTGTGATAATGCTGCTTCTGTTTAGTATTTTTACACCATACCTGAGCAGCACCTTCTGCTCCCGTCTAACATCTCCCCAGTCACAAAAGGGCCCAATCCAAACAGTGAAAGTTGGGAGTGAAAGATGTAATTAGACAGGCCACTCTCACGCTGCGATTGTTTCTCACTTGTGAGGGGAAGCGCAGATTAATGTTGAGCGCTAAATAAGCAGCACACAATGGATTCACAGACAGGCCGCTACCGCCTGGGCTTGGCCTCTAACCTCATAGCAAAACAGGGATGTCTGGAGGAAATGACACCATTTCAGACTCTGAATTATAATAGGGGCCTTTGTGCACTAAAAAAATATGCACATCTAAACCAATCTAAGCCTGAAATATTATTTGTCTTTAGAGTGAAAGAGCGTCCACTAATATCACTCCATTGGCTCATATTGTTAAAGCGTTTTTAAACAAAGGATGAGATTTGTTTGAAAGTCGGATTTGGAAATAATGACTCTTTGAGCTATTTCTCAGTGCTGCTTCTGTGCGGTGCAAGGAAGTCATCTCAGCCTGGTGCAGTTTTTAGACGAAAACAAGGTTTTGACTGAAATCTGGAACACACATGCTTATTCCTTTATGCTGTACAAATCCATAATCCCGGTCATTGTGGGGGTTCCGATTCACTATTGTCTGCCCACTTTGGACTGGCTTGTTTTGAGTATGACTGATGAAAAGACAAAAGGATCGTGCTCTGTTTTAGCTCCTAATAATCAGTTATTGCTTTGCCTGCTGAACATTTCTGTGGTGCTGGATGCTAACGAGACTTTCTGGTCGACCTTTTTCGGGTTTTTGTCAAATTATATTTTCCAGGACGGTCTGATCTGGTTTATTAAGGGTTAAAATAGTACCATACGATTCAGTTATCGACATATTCTCATTATTACTTTAAATATAGGCAGGCGTTAACTGACATCTATAAAGCTGTGTTTTATTGGCATGGTCTTTTATTCATGTTTGCCTGTTTTGGCACGCTTATATGCCAGAACAGCCAACGAGAGCTGCTATTATACTTTCTCTGTTTCGGCTCTTGTGGCGCCACTGCATTTTCTTCAGAATGCGCTTTGTTTCCCTTATTTACTGATTTGTAAAACGTGATTTTAAAATCACAAGCCTTAACGACGGTAACTTATCAGTCCCCCCTGCCTCACCAAGCCTGGGCCCAGACTTTCCACACGCAAGAAAATGATCAAATTACTGAACAATTACAATTACTTTATTTTTGCTTGTACTATTTTCCCAGTCAATCAACTTATAATCTTATAGTTACTGTCATAACCTAACCATTGTAGTGCAGGGGTTATACCTTAACCCTAGCTGTAGTTTTTGTTCAAGATGACTTTTTATATTTTGACAAGAACAACAACAACAACAACAAAAGTCCACTGGTCAAAGAGTAGCAGCCATAGAGCCAGAGACAGCTGTTTTTTGGGGGGGATAATAATTTTCTGGCGAGTCAGAAACATCCCCTGCAACCATTTAACATTTTGAACACAACATGTGAAATATTTTCATTTCCTGGACCCTGTTTGCCATCATTTGCTCTTTAACACGCTGCCAGGTAACCTCCAAAATAGCCTCCAGCAGGCCCGTCAAAGCTCTAATCAAAGATATAAAGATTTAAAAATTCTTGATCCCGCTATAAGGATTTTTTCCTCTCACATATAGGCTCAACATTATTCATTTAGCTGGTTAGCTTTTCTTGAATTCTGCATCCCGGGTGCCGCCTTATGGTTAAAACATAGCCTATAAAATGGGCATTTCTTATGATTATATTCTGTTCTTGTTCACGGAAGCAGGAAACATTGATTATTGTACTTGTCATATCTGTCAGGTTCTACTAAATAAGTGAATGCTTCCGTTTTCTTCTGTCTTTTTGTTTGTCTGCAAAAAAAAAAAAAAAAGCATTGGGGCATCTCTTCTTTTGCCCTGAAAGGGTTAATATTCCCTGTCTTTGAATGCATATTTTGCGTGCAGCGTATATACACACTAACCAGGTGTGTTTCATAATCACTTATAGCTCTATACCCCTCCCCTCTACCTCACACGCGCACATACACACACGCATATATACAGACATATACCCCTCCTACTATTATAATGTTTCGCATGCATTGTGCGCATGTGCCCTGTCCTTGAGTTCCTATAACCTATTTTTTTCCTCTGTATTTTTCTGGGTAGGATTGTCTTATACGTCACCAGCGCTCAGTACTATGGAGTACTACAAAAGGTGACGCGCAGAAGGAGGATTTGTGAATGGACGCCGTGATGTGTGCCAGCTCACAGATCAGAGGGCGGTGGGCCCTCTGCAGATGCACCCCCTCCATCACACCACCCCTCCCTCCAGATGAATGGGGGTCTCTAATATCAGCCCTGTCACCATTGCAGGGGTCTAACCAAATCCTCCAGCTTCCTGTGCCTTTCAAAACCTAAAAGCACCTCTCTTCTATTTGATGATCCTGTATGATTTTTTTCTTTCTTTTTTCTCTTTTCTTTTTTATTGTCGTGGTTTTGTGGGCCTAGAAGCTCGCTGCCCACTCTTTTATTATGGGCCAAGAGCATGGCAGCCGAATTAGACTAGATTAGAAAGCTGGCCGAGCTGCATTTAGTGGGCAATACAAAAAGTCAATCAATTTTAGAAGTGTGGTTCATCGGAATATAAAATAGGTTAAATGGAGGGACTTGACACCAGTATCTATTTTTTCATTGTTTCCCCGGAATTTTCCAGAATCGGTCTTCGCAGTGTTTCATATATAACCATAACAGGATAAATCCCAAAGAAAAGAAACACATGGATAAGAAACAAAAGCAGTTTTTTGGTATCTGACATCGATACATGGATACAATTGTAGTAACAGTCTTTACAAAACTGCCTTCTTGGGCTGAAATACTGTAGGTGTTCCTCCAAGTTTACATTGTTAGATTTTTAAAGCAAAATCATGCTCAGGTGGTGTTTCTCTAAATCCGTTTGATTAATTTTATGCTCCCTTTTTCCAGTGGAAAAAG